TAAAAGATAGATGCAGTTGTTTTCCAAGTGAAAACATGGTCCAAAAATAAATGCTGTGACTGAAAGATGTTTTAAGTTAATGTTATTTAATTTTCATTGTGAATTCGTGGCTCATGGTACTGTCATTTAGAAATAGATCATTTTTTACTTGTGAAATGTTTTTAATAAGATCATGTATAATATTGCTGTATTTTCAGAATAAGGAGTTTGTTTGGAATATACAATTTGTCTCTTAAGCACAATTTAAGTTTATGTCCAGGGGATTAAATTATGGGTTTAATATTCAGTAAAACAATGTACTGTACATTTTTATATTAAATGACTTCTGAACCTAATTTGATAAATGTTTGAGCATTGAGACTGGAACCATGCAAATTTTGTGGTCATCTGTAAATAAAGGTTTTCCTTATGCAAAAGTGCAGCTTTTTTTTTGGTTTATCTAAGAGTTTAATTGTACAAATAGGGATTTCTTGGTTGTTACTCTGTAGAATTCAAGCGACACTGTGGAACGTTAACTGAGCGACAGCAGCTTCTGCAGCCACATGTCATTGGTATTCATGCAGTGGAAAAAAAAAAGCTCTAACTGCATAGTACCCCTCTCTGAACTGAAACACAACTGAACGGTGGATATTACCCACTTCCTGACCTTCCCCAGCTTCCTGAACTAGAAGAGTTGCTGCAACAAATGTTATGTAACAATACACCACTATGTTTAGGATTCTTGATATTTTAAAGGTTTCCTGAGATATCAGACGCTGTTTTCTAAAAAGTCTTTTTAACTGATCTACAGTTCAGCTTCACTCCTGGGCTTGCTGGGCCTGAAGCTGAAAATTGAAACTGCTAATATCTGTCAGCTACAGACTTCTCACAGGAGATTGTACCCACTCACCAAAGTTACATGGAGCAAGAACAATCATTCAGAGTGAGGAGTGGGACTGACAACAGCTCCATTTTCCCTATTCCAAGTCAGTGAATCATCAAACTAAATTTAAGCTGCTATTTTAAGGTTTAGAAAAATAGATTTAAAGTAAAAACAATGTAAGCGTAGCTGATACGACTGTACATGTTGCTGTCTTCACACTCAGCTTTATTTGGCTATATAACAAAATGTACAAATGAAAATCTGAGGTAAATAATATAAAACTTTTCAGATTATAAACTTGTTTCATATGAATGCATTTTTGCTCAACTCCAATACCAGTCTAAATATTAGCATAGAGAACCATTTGAACAACTGATCAACTGGTTAAATATTTGAAACACCAGCAAAGATGCATGACAGTATTATTGTTCCCGTTAAACATGTTCCCTAAGTGGTGTACCACATGTTAGCAGTTGATCTGTGGTGAGATGTAACAGATGATAATAGAGATGAATCTGAAAAAATACCTTTCACATTCCAGTCTGTACTATTATAACCTGTGAAAACACTGGTCTATAACTGTCGCATTTGGTCACCAAGAAAATGTCTTAATCCAACACAGCACTCCTGTAAAAGTCACTCTCTTTGAGGCGAGGCTTCAGCCTTCCTCTCCATTAGCACACTTTTTCTCTCCAGTCGCACACTGACCGGAGGGAAGTGAAACACGTTGAAGGCGGTGTTGCTGTAACCTTCTATGAAGGCCAGAGGCTGGTGAGTGTCCTGGAGTCGATGTATTTTGGTGAAATCAGCCTCCATCAGCAGGTGAGAGTACTTCGTGATTTCAGGATTTGAGGGATTCATGTCCTCACGTTTGTCATATCTGTTTACAAAAAGGAAGTATTTATTATTAACTTTAAATTTCTGTATAACACACATTAGATGTGAGTTCAACATAGTAAACACTGACCTCCAGTTTCTGTTTTGCTCCAAGAACCGTGATACTCCAGTTTCAGCAGCGTAGGTGTCAATATGAACAAACACGTCTAGAAGAATAAAACATAACACATTTTTTGAACAATGACGATTATACAGGAATTTTGTAAAATTAATCAAAACGATTGTTAAGATACATTTTTAATTGTCTCCTACACAACTAATGGTTTGTCACACATCTTGTGCAAATTAAAAAGCTTAAAATAAAACAATAACAGGTGAAGTAATCCAAGATGTACCACAAGGAGTGCACACTGTCCATTTTATTTCTTGAACATTTCAAATAAGTTATTGGTAAAATGGCTGATCGTCCAAACTTCCTGCAAATACAAATAAGCTGATAGTGACTCGAACCTGCAGTTGCCGGCAACAGCTTGTGTAGTTCCTGCATTCCGCTGCCCCCCGGGTAGTTGTGGTGGGAAACATAGAGACAGATGCTAGAGTACGCTGCATTGGTCAACAGCTGGCCAACCACAACCACAGAGCCCAGTTTGTACATCCAGGATTTCTGGTAGTTGCATAAACTAAAGCACACAGAAAAAAGAAAACGAATGAGGAACATGTCCAGAAGCCTTCATCTAAAAGAGCAACAACTAAGACATTCTAGCTACTTTTTCATGCTCTACTGTTTCCTTTGTATCCTAAACATCAGCTTTGTCTGATTCAATGATAATGACCGGTTAATGTTTTCACTGTAAACATTGGGGGTTTCAATGCTTTGACTTGCATGTAAGAGCAGCCTCGGGCAGCCACCAAACTGAGCACTGGGAAAGTGTATATGATGAAGCGCAGCTCCTTGTGGGGCAGCAGCGAGTAGATGAGGATGAAGCCGACAGTGGGAAACAGCAGCAGTCTCATCCGCCTGTCGAGAAGGCCGAGGGGGACAAAGAGAAGTGTGCATCCCAGGGCCCGGGGCACAGCAGAGTAGAAGTACCAGAGAAAGGGGGAGGTTTACTGGGGAGAGGAGTCAAGGAGAACTCAGGGGAGTTGAGATCAGCCTTGATGGTTTTTATTTAAAGCATCATGGAAATGTACAGGTGTAAATGAAAGGATATTCCCCAGCTGGAACTTTTGTTGAGAATAGTGTTGTACCACAAAACTTGACCTTCAGGCCACAGGAACTTCCCCCAAAAGAAGGAGTCAACAGCCACTGTCAGAGCTGAAGAAACAAAAGAATCTAAATAATCTTTGTGCACATGTTCAGTTTAAATAAAAAATACTTTATTTATACAATGTGCATTCACCACTCACCCAGGGACAAGATCCCGGCAGGAACTGCATAGTAAAGCAGCTGCAGCAGCCCCAGCTTCCTGCTCAGCAGTGATATCAACAACATGAGACCCATGAAGATGCAGAGCTCTGATCGGAACACGATGATGACTAAAGCAGAAAGGCTGATGAAGCGGCCATATTTCTGAGCCATCCAAGATGTGAACGCTAAAAGAACTGGGAAGAGAAATACTGTCATCATTGGAAGATGGACAAAAATTGTTTCTGGATGATTAATACTGGTTTGTCTTACCTATTGGTAGTGCAAATACATTAGGGAGTGTCCTGGTGCTGTAGAACATGAGGTGAAACTGTGACGCACATGTCAAACAGAAGAGCCCTGCAACTGTGGAGCCAAACTGCCTCCTCACCTCTTTCTGCATGTGCCACAGTGCACCGATGACGCAGACTCCTAGGGAAGCTCGGACTGCACAAAACACATCAAAACAAGACATATTTAAATGGTTTAAAGTGACATTTATTTTAGTAGTGAGATGTTAGTGATTTACCGATCAGCTGTGTGTAGAATTTAGGTGCACCCAGCAGCGAGGACACAAACACAACAGGGGAGGAGAGTATGGAGAGGAGAAGGGGGCCAAGGAAAGTCCGTGGCACCACACCAGGGAATTCATGGTGGTCATACTGAAACACAGAAAATCACAAATGCAGCCAGAACATAACACAGGAAATATGTTATCACTTCAGTTTTTAAATTTGCTCTTCACACGGAAACAACAGCCCATTTAGTAGCTCCTCTGCGGATTTCGTCACATGGTCTTGAGCAAGACACGGAAGATCACCCAGTTGTCATGGAGATGTAGATATTCAGATCCATTCCATTTTCAACCAGACAAACAGGTCGATTCCGACTGCTGATGAAGACTGTGTCATGTGATTTAGATGAAAGCTACAACATAGCTACAAAATGGACCTTGGCAACTATTACTGGTTCAGTAAAACCCTGAAAATGTATGATTGGGGATTTTTAAGATAAAAAGTATTTTAAATATGAAATGTATCTATTTTTACCCATATGCTAATAATAAACACACATATATTATGTTATATGATATTGTATGATATGAACAGGGTGTATTTTGTAAGATTAAAATGTATAGATTTGAACAGATAACTTTTTTTCCCTCAAACAGTACAAGCTTCTTTGTTGTTATCTATTTTTTGCACAATTATATTGTTACATACATATATAGATACATATATATCTATATATATAGATATATAGGTTGTGGCTTTAAATAATCAAGCAATATCTTCGTCTACGACTGATATTATTATAAAAACTGTATTTGTAAAACACATAATAACTGTGTCAATGTAAGTGTGGTCTGTGTAAGATATTCACTAATGTTTACATTAAAAATGACGTCATTGACTGGTGTTGTGTACAGTAAGCTGGTGGACGTCCAGTATATAAATCTAAAACAGCTCCTCACCTTGTCGAAGTCAAGTCTGTGATATAAAATGTCGTGCGCCGCTTGTAGGTTGAAGCTCTCCTCGACCTTAGTGAACGGGCAGATGAACAAATGCAGCAGAGACACAGAAATCAACAAGACGAGCAGAGGAAGCCCCAAAACTTTTCTCTTTTCCGCCATGACAGCTGAGAGCCTGCAGTCACTTCCGGTCCTCACCGGAAGCTACGCCACACGACTTGTCGTGTCATTAAAACATTTACATTATTTTTGTAGTCGCAGCGGAAGGGTTGTGATTAAGAAAGAAATTAAATAATTCACTTAAATTTAAAATGAAGAACACCATTAAACAAAACAAGCAGGTTTCCAGACATTTCCACGTGCGGAATGGTCTACTTGTCCCGCGCGTGGCGGCTTGTGATTCGTTAAACCTTTGAGTGACAAGGGCAGAGAGCCAATGAGCGCAAGCCACAATTGGAGCAAGGGAGCTGACGCGGAAACTACAACCACACTTACCGGCATGTAAATACAACCGAACTGCGCTTTACATAGACAACGTTTACTGATGTTTAATGGTAACTCCACCTCGTTTTGATGAGAGGGAATCGAACTGTGTCCCGATGTGAAAGAGGTGTCTGCAGTGAATGGTAGAGATGCTGTCCACAGGTCCACAGCTGCGGCTGCTGCAGCTTCTCTCCTGTGTTACTCTGCTTTTACTCTTTAAAGGCAGCAGCGCCAAGAGGGATTTCAAAAGCGCCTGCAGCACATGTCAGAAAATCACTGAAGACTTCAGCAAGGTCAGTGAACGCAGCCAAACATCTGTACTGTGTTGGTACACAGATAAAGAGGGAGCCCTGGTGCTCCAGCTTTCAAATGTCTTCAAATGTCTCAGGTGTCCTCCTTGTTTGTCTCTGAACCATCATGACTGTGGTGTTTGTGTTCCAGGGCTTTGAAAGAACAGCAAAGCAGAACTTTGGTGGAGGCAACACAGCCTGGGAGGAGAGGAAGCTGTCCAAGTATGAGACGAGGTGAGATGGTGCATTCCGACAGGTCACACCTCAGCACACCGCCAGATTCATAAAGAGCCAGAGGAATCTGATCAGAGCAGCAAGAATACAGAAAGTGACACTAGAGATGTACGTGCAAGTCTGAACCTGGTTTATTAGATATTGAAAGAGCTCTGGGAGAGTCAGTGCTGCTTCAGATGAAAAACAGTATGAAAAGCACATTGAAGTCAGTTTACACAAGGTACCTGCTCTCGGTGAAGACATAAAATAATCATCTGGCTCAGATGTGAACAATGAGGACACCTATTCTGATATTTAATGAGACATTTTAGTGACAATATTGTTCCAATACTTGAAAAGATCTAACTAACCTTACAAGTTAAGAGTCACATTAACCTGCCCCAGTGTCACCAGAGCTGTGTTTGCATGGTTTACACCGGAGCTGCAGAACGTTGCACTGAGCACACACCAAGCTTATCAAAGTTTTCAATCTTTAGCTGACAAGCGGCTGGTAACGGAGGCAAACTTTCCCCATCTGGCCTGAGTCATATCACAGAGCTGCTGCATCCCTCTGCTCCAAGTCGTATTCTAAGATATTTTAATTAATAGTGTTTTAATGCAGAATTGTATCTGTTTTTTTGTTTCTAATAATAAAAATAATACTTCATAGCACGTCTTAAAACAAAGTTACAAATAAAAAGTCAAATTAAAGCAGAATAATACAAACTTGAATTGGGTAAATTATGATAAAAGTACGTTTTTAAGGTTTGATACAAAGGAAGCTGACCCGGCCTGCTGTATTTCCTCAGGCTGTGTGTTCCAGAGCCTCGAGGCTCTGATCTCAAGAGCTCCGTCCCATTTCACCTGAGGTTGTGTGGAGATAAAAGCTACAATATACTGAGGAGTCAGACTATTTAGTGCTTTATAAGTAATGAATAGGAAATCCATTCTAAAAACGGACACAGCAGCCTCGAGCAGCCACCAAACCAAGCACTTGGAAAGTGTATATGATGAAGCTCCTTGTGGGGCATCAGCAAAAGTCCAACTTTAAACTGTAAGAAATACTAATGTTAATTGACATCAACTGATATGAAAGTTTGCATCTTGATATCATTTGTCGCTCGTCCCTACATCATGCATTTACACACACACGTTATCTCCCACGTGCTGACAGTTATTGAAACAGTATTTGCCCCGTCCATTTTTTCACAGTGAGATTCGTCTGATGGAGATTGTGGAGGGCCTGTGTGACAGCAGCAGCTTCGAGTGCAACCGCATGGTAGAAGAGCACGAAGAGCATTTTGAGACGTGGTGGTTCAAGAGGTGAGAGTTTGTTCATGCAGAAACATGAAGAAGTTTCAATGTCAGCATGTTCCGTCTCATGAGTAAGTTGGAAAGAAACACTGAAAGAGATCTCACCTGCTGAGTTATTTGTGGATAGTTTTTGTTTCACTCAGTACAATGTGGTAACCATCATCTCTTCCTGTTTTGTTTCCTGTCGCGTTGCAGGAAAACAAAACATCCTGATCTGCATAAGTGGTTCTGTGTTGAAACCATCAAAGTGTGCTGTCCAAAGGGAACGTTCGGTCCGGACTGCAACGGTGAGGAAAGACACACGCACAGTGGCGCTGTTTGAGTATGATAGATATACAAAATGACCCTGATCACCTGAGGCAGCAGCACCAGTGTTAAAATGTAATGTGCGTGTTTCTGATTCTCTCTCTCAGCCTGTGTCGGGGGCTCTGAGAGACCATGCCACGGAAATGGAATGTGCGATGGCGATGGGTCTCGTGGAGGGGACGGAAAGTGTAGCTGTAACCACGGTTACGAGGGGGAGTTCTGCCTCGACTGCATTGAAGGCTACTTCAACGAAGTGAGGAACGACACCTTCTCCCTTTGCACTGGTACAGGATCCCTGACATGTCACCGGCCTTCATTTAAAACATGTCGGGAAGTGATGACTTAACCTGTTTGGGCTTCACTTCCTCCTGCAGAATGCGACTCTTCTTGCAAGACCTGCAACGGAGGAACCAGTCAGGACTGTGATGAGTGTAAGGACGGCTGGGAGGAGGACGATCAGGAAACTTGTGTCGGTAAGAAAAGATAATCCTTTATCCATCCCACAAGGAGGAAATCTGTAACAACAGTTTTTAAACCAGAGCTGTGTGATTATACTTAAAACATGTAGATCGTATGATGCCTCCATGAACAGGATATCTCAAGAACGCCTTGAGATCATTTCTATGACTTTGAAACAAGTCATAGAAATGTCACTGTAATCTCTCTGTTAAACTGCAGATGTGAACGAGTGCTCCCAAGATGCTTCTCCGTGTGAAGAAGATCAGTACTGTCTCAACACAGAAGGCTCCTACTCCTGCAAACGTAAGACGACTCATACGAAACCTTTTTTATTTTTAAAAGCAATATGTGCTGCTGAGAGATTCAGCATTCACAAAGCTATTTCTGTGATGTTTATCAAAGAGAGAGCTTTCTGTGTTTGTCCTTTACAGCTTGTGATAAAGTCTGCTCTGGCTGCACTGGAGAAGGTCCTGATAAGTGCCAGGCCTGTGCCGGCGGTTACGAGGACACAGAGGGCACCTGCACAGGTATGATGTAAATAATGGATTGTTTGAAGGGTCACACTTCTACATGTGTTGTGTCACTTCAAGAAGAATTTGTGAGTCAGTTCAAAAATAGTTACAAACAGTTGCTACAATTTTAAAGACATTAACGCATAAGTCCGAAATTGTTGGTTAATAAATCCATGTTTTGCTCACGGTCAACAAATCCCATTAAAAAGATCAAGATCAACATCATGTTCGTTATCTATAAATACTTGAGAATTAATAAAA